CCCTACACACTGTACAAAGTCCGTCAGGGCTGGCAACGCCAACATCACCGCTAGGCAGCTTCACTTTTGATTTTAATAACCTACACGTACTGTGTCTACCAGACACACACTATTTACATATTCAGACATGAAATACAAACATAAATATGAGCAGGCTTTGTCTGTCCATCCCAGTGGCAGCACATGTCTTCTAACATATTCTTAAAAAAATACACCAAATATTGGCCACCTAAACTTTAGGTCATCTGTCGCCCCTGTGAAGCACTTCAGGTTCAAAGAGCTTGAAAAATAAATCTCACTCGACTTAAGCTTTTTGGTCAAACTCCTCTGGTGTTTACATAGAAGTAGCTGTTCATGGCTGCACAATCCATTAAACATGATGTCACAGTGTTAAAACACACCACGGTGAAACCTTGACAGAGGTGAAGACCCACTGTCTGATGGCACCGAGCTATGTTGACCAAAAAGCTTGTTAAGTTGATGATAAGCAATAAGTCAGCGCACGTCTTGGATGAAAGGAACTCCCATACAAGTCCAGGCTTCAAACTGACCAATGGTTATCAACAAAAACTTCTCACGTGTTAAATCAGAATTAAAGCTATGACACAGCTGGAAACAAAATCATGTAAGTTGGTGAAAAAGCCTTTTTTTTCTTTTTGCATCTTGTGACGTGATTGTCGAAGCCAAATAACTGGAAATCTGATCCTATATACAGCAATGCATAGGCTACAAATCACCAAAATCCAAACCGCGATTGAAGCAGAATAGTTACCCTGAAATTTTATTGTTCTTATTTATCACGAGGAGCAGGGCCGGGGGTCGTTTGGTACAGGTATCACATTTTACTTTGAAACCTTACTTTGAAAGGTACTTTGAAAGTATGCACTGCCATGAAAAAAGTTCTAAGATAACCAAAGAATAAGTTTTTAAGTTAATAAGAAAGACAACTTTCCTAATCCAAGCAGCATTTTAAGAACTTAAACACTGAATTTCAAATAAACCTGGAATTATGTGATGAAAGAACAAAAGAATGACTTTGACCAAACATTCGATGCCAACTCTCGAACGCTATGTTGGAACTGTTATTTCAGTACCAAAACAGTAGTGAAGTTCAGTAACCAAACCTGGCAGTACACGTACCTGTTGTGGTACCCAGGATGGGTAACCAACCGTGTAGCAACTGGATTTGGATCTCAGAGGGGAAAGAGAGATGTCAGTTTATCTGTGGGGTGATCAATTCCACTTATCACTAGTAATAAGCACCTGGACACTCAAGACCTTATTCCCTTTCTTTGAACCCTATCAACTCAGCCCTGCCTCCGTTAATAAAACACACTATTCTTGGGCATTATCTCAACCAAACAGCTTTGGTCGGTTATTGGTAGTCTGCCACAAATGTTTCATGTATAAAACATTACTCATTGATAAAGACGACTTCAACCTCAGCAGAACACCAAAGCTGGTTCCTCTGACAAAACTATCTGTAAACTCCTTTTTATAAGTTGCTTAAGGAGATTTTCTCCACATTTTTTATCATTTGTTAAGAATTTCAGTCAGGTTTCTGGAGGTGTTGGGGCTTTCAGAGGTGTCATCCTGCTTTTTCTTGATTTGAGTAAAGACTTTTATATGGTTGATCACAACATGCTTTTTGATAACTCAAAGACTGGCAGGACAACTCAAATTTAAATTCTCTGATCTGGTGTTGCACAGGGATCTATTCTTGATCCATTACTATTCTCTAATAATGTTTTCAATTTGGAATATTGTGCCTCATCATAATGCTGATGTTCAAGATGTGAAGATATATTTGGCGAACTAGGAAATGGACAATCCAAGCTCCTTCAAAGGTTTCAAGAATAAATCACCTTTTACACAGCTTTCCTCAAATGTCCTTAATGTTGATGGACATCTCCAAAATCCCGTCCCTGCCACAGAAACTCCAACCAGAAACTTAAATGTGTGAGGATGTCAGTCAATCTAGAGGGTTTTTTTACTATCCAATTTTGCTTTGCTTAATTTAAACATGATTTAAAAATGACTTTATAACTAAATTTCTCCACATCATTCTGTTGTATTTGGATGATCGCATGTACAAACAGGTGACAAACTAAAGAACGACCCAAGATAAAGAGTCCCAGTGAGGTGCTGGGCCGTCACGTGCCACCAGAACAGCTCCACCTTGGCACTGACTCTCCCAGTCCGTGAACTCTACTGGAGGGATGAACACCGTTTTTCCAACAGATGTTCCCCCATGTGGTCTGTTCATGGTCATGGTGGTAGTGGAGACGCTAACATGTCGCTCCAACATCAGCTGGGTTGAGACCTGGAGACTGTGAAGGCCCGACCATATGACTTACATCAAACCATTCAGTGACCCCTCATGTCCTATGGATGGTGGCACTGTCCTCATGGAAGAGACCACTAATTTATTCTGGTTCGTCCTTTCACTTGTCACCTGCCTGTATCTAAAGAGGTTCCTCTGATTTCAGTGGACCTCTGTTGCTTTATTTTTTTTTTTTTGGACACTGATCATAAAATTTTTGATAGTTTATAAGGCACATCTGGCCCTGAACCTCATACTGAACCCCTTCCAAGCTAAGACTGATGTGCTGCGGATGTGTTGTGAGGAGGTGGCAGCTAAGTGACTCTATCTCCAATCAGTGCTTCAAAGCAAACTTGTACATGTTAAAATGTTTTAAATGTAAATGCTTTTAACATCCTCTTTATATGTCTGCTGTAAAATGTTCCCGTTTTTAACTTTAAGTCTCAATTAGTCCATTGTGTCACGTTTCCCTTCATGCCTACTTTGTAAATCAATTTGTAACAACTGTAAGGAAAAATTTATAAAATGTTTATTATCATTATTAATATTATGTATAATAACATGTATATACACACTTTAAAATGGCTGATGTAAACTTCTAAAAAGTTTTAAAAGTCTTAATTCCAAAGCAAGGGGAGATTTATGCAGTGGAACCTAATGGTACGTTTTGGGTAAATCAGTAGAAACTCCAGTGAAACACAGATAGCTCCAAGCAAAATTTCCATCCCACTCAAGTAAAACAAATTTCTGGTAAATTTAGAAATAAAGATGTGGAAGTCTTTCATTTTTTGGTGCTTGACAGCCATTTTCTGGGAGCTCCCACACCAAACAAACTTAAAAAAAAAAGCAGAAAAGCAAAAAGCAAGTGGTCTTGGGTGTTGGTGTCTGAATATTTCTTTGTTTTTCCTCCAGAGACGTTCATAAATAAGCAAGCTGAGTTAAGCATTTTATGTGTGAAGCCTCGCCATCTCGTCTTCTTACACGTTCAGCCGGCACTGGTTCTGGCCTTTGGTCAGAACAGAGGAAACAAACAAGATAAACTATAATTATTACATTTTCTGGATCAGTCTGAAGTCCACCAGGAAGGATTACTTTGTACACCACGCTACACAGTGTCCTAGAGGACTGAGAGGTGAGATAGGGTCTTTTTGTTTTGGAGTATTTCCCATTATGGGATAAGCCAGAGACACTCCCTTGGAAACGTCCCCTCTACACCTCCTTCCTCCAACCCAGTTTCTGAGAGTTTGTCTGCGTATACAGTCTGCTCACAGGTTCTTGGTGTTTATGTGAGTCTTGTAATGCTTCGTCAGGTGGTCGCTCCTCATGAAGCGTTTCTGACACTGGCTGCACTCAAAGCGCTTGTCTCCTGTGTGGGGGAAAAAAAAAGTTAGGTGGGGGGGTCCTGTTTTTAAGGTCAAATAAATTATAATATATTAAGTCTCTCAAACAGGCCTGGGGCAACACAACATAGCTTCCTGGGAAAAACTACAAACATTTATTAAAGCTTTTACTCAGTACTGGGCAGGCAGTAAATCACAATCAGCTATAACCGCCAAGTATGTTGAGCATACGAGGAACGTGTCTCTGGCACAGAGGCTCTCAGCGTGTTTGAGACAACAGACAGGGGAACAGTGCAATGAAAGGTAGGTTAGGTGTGGGAGAAGGAGGAGAGGCACTATTCATAAACATGATATACATATATACACATTTTGAGCTGGTGCATGTAGCGGTACTATTGATAATTATTGCTCTGCAGTGGAGTCCTGTTGCTTTAGACATAGTTAATCAATGTTATCAGCTATCTACCAGCAGAGGAAAGCAATCATATCATTACCATTAAAAAAAAATATGTTCACACACCCAAAACTATCAAAATGCTATTTATTGATCTGATTTTAGAAGTGATCCTCATAGCACTTCCCCTAGTTTCCATTCTTCTTTCATATTTCTAAAATCCTTTACTATTTCAACATAGCTGATAGAAATGTGGCTGGGGGGGATATCTGAAATCCTCTCATCTGAGAGGCTGGAACCAGAAAATATCTGGTGTTGTTTCACTATTTTAGCTTGAAAAGATGGCTGAAACAATTAATCAATTAAATCAAATAGTCACCATATGGTTTAATCAATTTACTAATTGATTAATAGATATTAATTGTTAATAATTGTTTCAGTCCCTATAATTCATAACTGCCCTGCAGATACTGTTCAAAGGTTTATATTGAAGGAAAAAGAAAACTACAGAAATAAATGCAAATCAAACATTCTAAGTCCAGTTTTCTTTCAGTCCTTTTTCAGTTTGTATTTCACTGTTTCGATGATTTGTAGCTTTAACCCTTTAATCTCACCCAGTTTTATTCACTGGCTACCCATCTTTGCACACATGCTGCTGTGTGTGTGTGTTTACATGAGTTTCAGTTTCTACAGTACCCGTGTGTGTCCTGGCGTGCCGCTGCAACTCGTCGCTGCGTGTGAAACGTTTGCCACAAAAAACCCAGTTGCAGACGAAGGGCCTCTCCCCGGTGTGCAGCCGGACGTGAGCTCTGAGCAGTGATGTCTTCCTGAACGTCTTCTCGCAGCCGGGGATGTGGCAGATGTGCTTCCTCTTCCCCACCTCCCCAGGCCTGCACAGGGTACACACACAGACACACACACTCACTCACTGAGTGAAACATTCAGTTTCAGGGTAGACGTGTGTCCAAAATTAGCACCTACCAGTATATGATTTAGCATCAATATTTAGTTTAATGCATAAATGGTTATTACATTTTCAAACAGCATGGTCATGAGTAAATATAGATTTTCAATACACAATTCAATTACACAAACATCTCAGAATGATATTTTAGCAAAGAACTGAAACTCTGTCCATGACAACCACCTCTAGCTGGTAATATTCATTTTAAATCTGTTCCTGTCTGTTAATTGAATGTTGTCCCATGCACACCAGCCAGGAAAAACTGGGCAAGTAAAATGTAATACTGGCCCATATTTGTCCATCTGTTGACTCACCTCTTGTCTGCATCCTTACAGTTGGGACAGGTGCAGGCCATGCGTCGCTTCTTCTCTCCTGGTTGGCCAGGCAGCTCCAGAGTGAGGGTCTGGTCTAGATGGATGGCCGGCTGGCTTGGTGTTGCTGCCAGCTGGAGCCCGCCACCCTGCATCGTCTGCACCGTCAGGTGCTGCTGGCCTGACAAACACAGAGACAGACACACTGTAAGAGATAGCAGGAGCAGCCAAGCTCCTCTAAAAATCTAATTACACTACCAGTTGACTGCTGTGAACCACACTCAGCATAAATTCTAATTAATGATAAATGGGCACATTAATATAATACAGACAGATGAAAGCAATGAATTTACAATATGTTCTAAACAGATGGTGCTTCTGTCTAGAGCTGATTAAGAATCGGTGGTTTTTACTTTTGCATTTAAATAAATAAAAAAATCACCTCTTGAAAAATAAATGTTTCCCTTAGAACTGGTGCATTAGGACATAACTGCTTACAAAACATACTGAACTTTATTTTATCAAAGCTTGTCCATGTGTTTCTGATGTGTTGTATGCTGAAAGAAGAAAATTCCCCAGGTAGAAAAATTCCTGATAAAGCGGCTATTCTTAAATAAATCACCCTTAATTAATAAGTAAACCGTTTCAAACATCTAACAGCCACTGGAGTAGCTACATATAGTGCATCTTCATCACTCGCTGCTGTTTCCGGTTCCAGTTCCTGCGGAAACTGTATTCACTTCCTGTTTCCTGTGTCTGCACCGTGTTGTGCTTGCTACCAGATTGTGTATGGATTAAGGTCACTAATTTCTAGGTTTATCTGAACAGCTAATGTTTTGAGTCACAACATACGCCCACACTACTTAAGCACCTGTGTTACAGACGTTCTTGCTAATTTTCAAATGTAGCTATTTCCAGCTAGCTAGGCCCATCATGCTGGTGCGGAGCCTACTAGACGTAGCTTAGCCCAAGTGCTCAATCTATGCATAAATCCACTGTTTTGAGTTGGCAAATTAACTGTACAGTGATTATGTTTTATTAGCAGATGACTGAAGTCTGAGTCTATAAATGTCCTTTGATTTTTTCCAGAGAAAATCAATAGACTATGATGTCACCTTGTACTCAGTCATGACAATCAAACCACAGACAACTTGGAAACACAAACCAACATAAAGCGAGTATTCAGACCGACCCGGTAAAAACGCAACTCCCTCCACAGAGGGCTGCACTGATCAGGGGGTGAGGGGTTGCAGGGGGACGGTTAGATGTTAGGTATTAGGGTTAGGGTTATGATACAGCCACGTTGTGATGAGTCGACGTGAGTGGCTTCCCGTGAGCGTTTGATTGTCCCCTGTACGTGATTCGCCAATGCAGCACCTTTGCGTGATGGTTTTACGGTCCTGTGCGGTCAAAGTTGAACCAGATCCAGGTTTTTCACTGCATAGGGCTGTGTCGTTTTGCCAGAGCCCCCTGCTGTGCTGGAGCCGGCCACAGTGAATGCAACCCCCTAGAGAAATGAATGAGGAGAACTGCGTTTTTCACACCTTTGAAACTCAGTCTGAACTTGGCCTAACTCACCTCCCGCATTGGTGATGGTGACAGGAACTCCCTGAACTTGGACCCCATTGATGCTGATCGTCTGCACAGCCTGAGCTGTCGAGGACAGCTGCGACGTATTTAACGCTATCATCCCCCCTGCCGGGGCAATTTTTGCCAGAGTCCTCTCCTTCCGCGCCCCAGCCGGCATCTTCTTGGTGCTGGCAGGTGGCGAAGTGGTAACGGTGGCGACCGAAGTGGCAGGGGTTGTTGTCGTGGAGGGAGAGTCCTGAAGCAGAACCGATTGCCACTCGCCCGATGCCGTTTTGAAGAGGATCTGAGTGAAGAAAACAAACACTGTCTGAAGATTTCTTTAAACTGGACTTAGGGCTGCCTGACAGGAAAAATAAAACCTCTCTTAGGGTCCAGAGGAATGTTCATGTCCAGAGGCAGATAGCCACCTGGAGTCAAACAGTGCACTTAACATTGAACTTAACATCTGAGCCTTTATGAATGTAGTCACTGGTGTACTTCTACCAGCATTTCACAACAGCTTTGAGTGGCATCAGAACTCATAAAACTGTGGATACCTGTGTGGGTGTAGGCTCTGTCGGGGTGACTTGCAGGCTCGAGGGGACCGGCGGTCTCTGTGGGACGGGTGGCAGCGTGGCAGAGGCAGCCTGTACCACCTTCAAGGCCTGCTGAGGGATCTGAACCACCTGAGAATCTAGTTTGGACTGGACCAGCTGGACCTGCTGCACCACAGCTGGCTGCCCAGGACTCTGCACGATCAGTAGATTGTTACCAGCCTGCAAACACAGAGACAGAACAGGTTGACGTCCCCATACCAGGCTTTTAGCCAGTGCTGGAGTGGTGTGACCATATCTGAGAAGGAAGGTATTTAGTGAATGAGGGGGATATTTACTAAACCTGTTGCAAATTAACTTCAGGTGTGCAAAATACTGTCACAATTTTTCAATTTAGCAGCATATTTACCAACACTAACAATGTAAACGAGCACAGCCACAGCAGTGTTAATTTGAATGCACTCCCACTGACACCGTAAGGATCTGAGGCCTCGTTTATAGCTGCTGCGTACGCCACTTCCCACAGAAAAATCTGGATTTACAGACTAACTTGACGTGAAATTGTGCATGCCTGCATATAAACTCTGATCAAGGCGTACACACTTTTTGGATACCAGGAAAACTGGCGACAGGGGTGCTGAAGCAGTGAACTGAAGCCAGATTTTATATCGATCCTTCTTAAGGGTTTATCTTGATATAAAATCAATAATCACATCAACAATGTCACCGACACTCAGGCAGCTGTTATATTGTGTCTGTGCTTGTAGGACACTACTTATTCCATGAGCACCTCTGTTTTAAAAGATCCAGGACGATCCAAAACCTTAACTGTTTACATCAGTGACTGATTAATAAACTATCATTTATGCAGTGGATGGGGCTGGTTCATCACCACATTCCCCAACCCTCAGAGCTCAGGGGAGAGGGTCGGGCCGTGTGAGTCACACTCAGTAGCCTACCGCTCGTTTTGAGCTGGAGCACGCCACAGCGCAGCTGAAAAGCCGAGGATGTGGCCAGGACGTGTCAGGAGGCAGGTTCTGGAGAGTCTGGCTCGCCTTTCTATGACATTAACTCTGAATATCCTGATTTCTTGTCATCTCAACCACGGCAGCTAAACAACTAAATAATTCAAATGTGCCCCATTTTCATTATAGAACTGGAGAACAAAGTCTTTTAATACTGTGACTATCCACCCAACTACGATTTTTATTTATTTCTGTTTTCTCACCTAACGTGTGTCTGTGCTGTCAGGGGCAGCAGCGCACAGAGCTCACTGGAGAAGCTGTGGTGCCAGACACTCTCTGCCTTCTCCTGCCACCTCTCTGACTCCTCTACACCACCTGCTCTCATCATCAGCTGTGAAGATGAGAAGCACATGGGGACTGTGGATTTAAATACTGTGGTTCTTGTTTAAAGATATTTACAGTGTGAGTTCATCAGTTATGCACTTGTCTACAGCCTTTACATGCTTAACTTCCAAGTGACAGCTTGCTGCGCCATGTCTCCGGCACAACCCCGGTGCATACTCTGACAATGTGCAGCCTTTAAGACATCCACCTTCAGGTCTGAGCACTTTGTTTAATTTGATGACTGTCCTATTTGGTGTATTAGCAGCAATCAGCCTCTCAGATGTTTTGTTTGGAACACTGCCTTCATTCTCCACACGAACAACATGTATATCAACATTTTCTGTTTGTGTTTTATGCACAAGTAAACTTTTGTTATGGACCTTATGCACAGTTTTGTAAATGAGGCCCAAGGTGAATGAGACAAAGAGTAGAAGAAAGCGTATGTTTATTGCTACTGAACGAACACACAGTATTTTCAAGCTGCAGTTACCCAGTCTTCTGCAGACAAATCATTTTTCATTTGGATCAGTAACTGAAGAATGTTGTGACCTGAAAGCCTGTAACAGTCCCTCACTTTCTCCTCCAGCATCCCCCAAAAAAAGGAGATGTGATTTACAAACACCCTCTCCTTCCCCACGTTATCTTAATGCCAGTGACATCTCCAGTTAATAACTGCTGCCACGCATTTTAAACCCGCTTTCTCCTAAAGTTAAACCTCTGTTTCTCCTCCCTGATTTTGCATCCTTGAACCATGAGGATTAGCTGATGTTATCTGCTTTGTATCACTGTAAATGTAATAACTTTGTTTGACTGTGTGGACAAAACTACAAACTCAGGGTTCACTTACTAGTTTGTTCTGGCACTTTATTCAGTCAAAATACAATCAATTAGCTCCATCAACATTTAACTTCTGGCTTAATTCACTTTCCTTTAGCTTGTACAGTAAGTGAACTATGAGTTCAGAATATTGTATCACAGAAACTCTTTGTGTTTCCAGTGGCAAGAATGAACCATGTGTTTGTAGGGATGCAACGATACCAAAAACTCACAGCATGATACTGCCTCATAAAACGGCCATGATACAATACTTATCACAATATTAATAAGTGAAGAAAAAAAGAACAATGCCCTTTACTAAATAATAAATCAGTGGTTTTGTATAATGTGTATAAAAGATAATGCAACAGTCAACAGTCGATAGTCAAACTAGGAGAAGTGCTTTTATGAGTTAAAATAATATAAAATGTTATTGCACCAGCTGGATCTTGTTATTAAAACAAGTCACAGTCACAGCTAACATCAGTGCTTTAGTTCCCCCCTTGGCAGGTTTAACTTTCTCTGGCTACCAAACCAGATGAAATGGTTATCCCCACTCCCAGCCACCGCAGTATGGAGCAAGCTGTTGCTTGCCACACCGGAATGACGAGAAGAAGACGCCAAACTACACAAGAACAAGCTAGATTTGTGCTTTACTACAGGGGTTTTTCAAACATTGTGGTCTAGTTTTTCAAGAGAAAGGACTTTAAGGGTGGTTACTAAGTGGTTGGTGTAAATGTGCCTCCCCTTTGTTTGCCCATCTCACCAGTCGTGTGCCCACTGTTTCTGGGAGATGTATCCAGGACTGTCTGTATTAGATATTGCTAGCATTGCCTTCGTCTGGCAGTATTTGCATATTGTTTGTCAGTTTCTTTTTTTGCCCATGTTATTTCTTTAAACAGGAAAACTGAAATGCCGTCACACAACAGCTTTAAAAGTTGACAATGGAGCAGCCGCTATGTCTGTTTCAAATTCTGGGACCAGAAATAATCATATGTAATATCCTGGTAGATACTGTCACTGTACCATGACGTGATATAGTGACATTACAAATATCATTACATCCCTGTGTGTTTGCATCACCATAAAAATGAACAACTGTATCTTTCCCAGTGGTCACTACAGCTCCAGAGCCTCACAGAGTACAGTGAAACATGTTAAGACCGTTCAACACAGCGGTGGATACTTGCATTGCTTGTAGAGCAGTATATGGTAGGGGAATGTAACAGAAATGCATTTTCTTCTGCAGTAGCAGCCAGATGTACCTGTATGATGTTGTCACCAGCTTCTATCAGGATGGTCTCCATCTGTTCTGGGGGTGGGGAAGCAGCCTGTGCAGGAGGAGGAGCAGGTGGAGGCTGAGCAGCCACAACCACTTTCTTCTTCCTCCCTCGCCGTCCTTTTCCAGGAGTGGAAGGAGCAGCTGCCGTCTCAGTGACGATTTGAGTGCCGCCCACCTCTCCGGTCGCCACGTTGAGCGGCAATGTGAGCCCGCTGGGCAGCTGCACCATGTTTGCAGCAGTGCTGTTTGGCTTCCGCAACTTAGGGGAGGGCTTGATGGCAACAGTCTTCTGTGGTGTGACCGGAGTGGTGGCAGCTGCTGGAGCTGGCACAGTCATGGGAGTGGTGATGAATGCCTGATTGGTGCCTGGTATGAGCTGGATCTGACCTCCCTGTGGCATCACCTGGATAGTCTGGGCACCCTGAATCTGCGGCACCACCTGGTACTGGATGTTGGCAGGGGCTGGGGTATTGGTGCACGCTGGGCTCTGCTGGATAGTGAGGACGATGGGGTTGACAGGAGCCGTGGAGCCCAGGCCAGCAGGGAGCTGGATCACATTGCCCTTGGCTGACAGAAAACCCAGGTTTTTGGGTGGAGCAGGGGCGATTGGAGCCGGCTTTATGGGAAGGAGTCTGCGGGGCTGCGGCTGTGCTGGAGGAGAGGTGGCAGGAGCCTGAGCAGCAGGAGGGCCGATCTTACTACAGGTGGCAGCCAGGAGGGCCAGCGGAGATGGCTGGGTGTCCTACAGGCAGGAACAGAGTCAGACACAACAACTCAGATGCAACTCACACAGTCTGGATTAAAACCAGCCTGAGCAGGTCTGCACTATGAGGCAATAAGGTGAGACAGCAGGAGATAAGAAGTAAAAATAAACAAGCGAAGATAAACCAAGAGGTAAGCCTTCAGCTACACAGTCATAAACACTGTCAAACAAGTGGTGTGGTAGGTGTGGCCCTCCATATATATGTATGATCCTCAAGCTAAACGCACAGATACTAGTCTCATATACCAATACTGATTTTACACTGATGTAACTCTGTACTGTTGAAGAGCACTTTTCTTAATCACACTGCCATACTATCTCAGATCCCACATGTGTGAAATGCTTTGACACGTTCATTCATTTCAAATGGGAAAATCAGTACGACCCTGGCAGAAAAATGTGCAGCAATGTGAGTGTATCATGGCTTAACAGAGATAACAATGTCAGGAGAGTGCAATAGTGCAAACAGAGTCCAGGGAGAAGTGAGGCACAACATCTGGCTATCACTCACTTGTGTGGAAGCGGTGGAGGGCTGAAGGTATTCGCTGGGACTGACAGTAACAGTGGTGGCCATACTGTCCTGTTGTTCTGGAAAAAACAGACACAGCAGAGTCAGAGTCGAGGGTTAGGACATCACAGGACATTCCTGCAAAATAGAAGGAGATCTGAGAAAGACAACCTCTGTTGTGTCTCACTGTGACCACAATGTGATCATTAAGCATCATCTGTTACAATAGTGAGGTCATTTGTATCTTAACCGCACATGGGCAGTATGGCTGACATCTCTTAAAGCTCCTCTAGTGAGACTCAAAACAAAGTGACACCATCAGCTGCTCCTAACTACTCTTTGCCCCTCCCAGCATATCCTCTTTCCTAGCGATGAACTACAGAAGCCTTGTTGGGACAAACTGTACAAAATGAAGCCTCCAGTCTAAGGCTAGCATGTGTCAGTCCAGTAGAACGCCCTGGTTAATGCTAACGTGACACATAGCTCCAGTTCCTCCCAAATTAAAATCATATTAATTCAACACAAAGTTAAAATCCTAACCATGCTAGGTGGCTAATGCTACCAAAACATACAGGTTAGCTTTAGATGCTAACACATCCAGAAGGAAGAAGGCCACATCTGTATCCATCTAATTTACAGACTTGGACAACACATGGTGGAGGGTTATCAGACAATGTGCAAAAGCTGAGATAATGCATCTTTAAAGCATTAAGGGATGCCAGTGGTTTCAAGGAATTTCCCCCCCTCAATGTTTCAGTGTTGTGGCAGATAATAAAAATATTCACAGATCTTATGAAGGGAACTGTGGAGTCCCATGTATCGTTGTATTTGGACATACTATTGTCATTACAGGACCATACTGAAATGTTGCATGTTTAGCCCATTGTGCTGGTCACAGATACATCACTTGCTGCTAACCATTTTCAAAAGTGTACCGTGTTCTTTTCATATTCGTGAATACGTTTTTAATATTAAGTACTTCTGTGTACACCAAGTGATAATTCTTTTGTTGTTTTAATGGGATTTGGTTGGTGCTACTCTAATCGAGGTAATGACCACACCTTTAATATTAAGTACAACAAAATGCAGCATTTGGATCTAGTGCAAAAGCTCATGTAAGGTCACTGACATTCTTTTTGCAAAACATCTAGTAAGCTGGTTTTTATGAAGTGTGCTGACTGGTCATGACATCTGTTATGTTTGGCACTGGGAAGGTAAAAGCACAAACGAATATCAAGTTACTGGCAGTGATTCAGATGCTCTCAAAGCACAACTGGACTGCAGTCTAAAGCACTGTGTGAGGAAGAGACACTAAATTTATTGAGCATATTATTTTTCTGTTTAGACAGTCACCATAAGTGCATTTAGGGCAGGCTGCCCGAGAGTTTAAGAGCTGGGTAAATCTTGAGCACCAGGCAGTGCTGCCTAATGGCCAAGACAGGTTGAGGCTGTTACTGTCACAGTGCTCCAAGTAAAGCGGTACACTTGTGATCTACACTGAGTGACCTCTTCCAATCCATTAATGCCTGACCTGCTTGTACACAAAAACTGAATCACAGGATTTTAAGAATCCATACTCTGAAATAAATTCAGGTGCAACAGACAAAAGCTAAATTTAAATGCAGGCAAATCTGTGTCTTTATGCAGATTTGGGTGTGTTTGTAGCTTTAACTCAACATCTGTCATCATTCACAAACTTATAAACTAAACTGAAATATGTGTATTTAAAAGGTTTGAGCACAACAGCTGAGCTCAAGGCATGTTAGCTGGCAAACACTTGAATCAAGCAGCAGGTGATGCATAACCACATGATAACAGTTCAGTGACCAGCAACACTAATGAGAAGTGCACAAGCTGCTGGGGAGGCCTGTTTCAGAGATCTACCAGAGCTGCTGAAGATGCTGATTCCATATTTTCACTGAGGAGCATTAAAGTAGTGCAGTTTGTGCCTTAATACTGTTACATTTCACAGAGATGAGCATTTAGGCTTTTTGTCAGCTGCAGCTATTAGTCAATTAATCATGTTTTCTGATAAATATATTGCAATTTAAGAAAGACAGAAAAAACACGGCATATATAAAACTGCTGTTCTGAAGGCATTTCCAGAATGGTTATCTGGGAATCTGCATGAAAATTATTTTATCTGCTGCAGGATTTAAAAAAAACATTTAGCTTGAAATAACTAGACTGCTTTCTCATCTTGCACACAAGATTTAAAATATTTGTGGTATGCTTATATAAAATTACAGAAAGTAACTTCAATAGAGCTAAATATAACTAATAGTGATAAACTTGAATTTCGTTTCACTGTGTACAAACAGCCAAAAGATGTTATTTCCATCTATAATCTTTGGACAACTTGGGAGACAAGGTTAAAATCTTTTCTTATCATGTGATGAACAGACTTATTTCATCTGGATGGTTAGAAAACCACCTGAGTATATTTCTTTTTAGAAAACCTTAGCTCCGCTCTGTGACTCCATTGGAGCTTGCACAAGATAAACTTCTTGTTATGAGTGAAATGTCTTTGACACATCATCAGCATGAGCTGTGTAATCCGCCACCTGTGACAACACTTTACCCTGACAGAAAATAAACTCTGTGTTGTGACTTCTGCCCAGCAAACCAAACAGGAACTGGTTCCTCTGTTACAGCTGCATACCTGTTTAAGCTAAAGTATTACAAATGCAGCTGTGGCTTTAACTTTACAGTCAAACAAGTCTAAAAACATTCAGGCTGCTGAGCCACTAACCTCTGAGGGTTGAGACACACAGCTGCTGCAGTAACTAAGCAGACAGCTTCACAACAATGAGCAGAAATATATCAATTTGACAACCGCCAGTTATGCTTGTGTCTTTAAGGCCTGCCAGAAATGAAGAAATATATATTTAAAAAAAAAACGTGTGGCCTCAAGATAGCGCCGCCATCAAACGCATACTGTTGGTTTGGTTGGCTGTGGAAGCAGCAACGTTAACTGGGTAGCAATACAGACTGGGGTAAACTGAAGAGGCTAACATTCATTTCAAGCTGATTTGGTCCGTATGCAGCACAGTTCAGCAAACAAAGATGGAGCCATTACTTACGCCGTTTAAACAACTATAACTAATATTTTATTGTGGAATAGATGGGTGGTGTAAATGCACAGCCACATTTTGTGAGGACAAGTAAAGCACCAGCTACATTGCATAGCATATTTGGCTAGCTGACGCGTAGCTAGCAAGTCAAACTCTCTTTGATAACGTTACAGAAAAAGGCAGCCCTTTTACCGGAAGTGCATTGCTTATTTGGGTTTACACAACAGCTCGACTCCCGTTAAAATCTACTCGTTCATACCACACAATGAGCAGTGATGTTCTGTTATACTGAAATATAACATTTTATGAAGTACATTGTAATATAAACACTAATGTTTTAATTCCTACCCACCGCTCATGACGACATTCGCTCTCCGCGAGCCTTGAAGACCGAGCCCATGGAGGAACGCACACGCGCTGCTGCACCAATCCCCGGACAATGGAGAGTTGAGCGACAGCCCGACTGACCAATCACCTTGATGTGTCTTTTTGATTGATATTTGAGTAAACCAATCGAGATGCATAGTTTTTGTACGTCGGTCGATGGATGATGGTTTGACCAATGGGATGTCGAGATTAACCTCAATAGGGGCGTTTCTGAAGAGCAGCAGGAATACGGTTTCACTGACGTCCCCAATGGCCAATGTGATGTTTGAGGGGCAGTTCAGGCAAAAGAAGAATGACAACCGTTCGGATCAATGAGCTTTAAGTCTCTGTTTCCTCACCTGTTTTACTTATTTCATGGTTTATTATGAGGAGGAGTCCGTTAGGCGGGATAACACAAATGGTGCCATTGCGCCAAACCAGTTCAAAGAGATTATACGTTCATTCTGAAGCTCTGCAATATTTCCTGGTCTGTCAAAGGCCTTTAGATGAACGTAAACTCAGGTACAGTTTGGTGTAGTTTACTGTAGTATTTACATTGTTTGCTACCACTCCACAACATTTCAGAGAGAAGTAGGCTATTGCTTCTCTACATTTATTTAAAAACCTATTGTTACTTATTCTTTCTCTACACTGACATACTGAGCTTATAAAATACCCCGTTTAAACACAGACCTTACTAAGACACTTTATGTTGGCTTTTCCTTTCAGTTGTCACCATCGGTAACACAGACAGGGTGATTAGTCTAATTTTGGTAACAATCAAATCCAAAGAATTTACCTCAAAGGTTTAATTGTAATTGAAAAAAGAAAAGTGTTTTGTTATTCATTTTGGTACAAATTATTCCATCCAGACTGTTTACTTGGACTCTGACCAGATCTGAATACTGACAGCTTGGATCTTTCTTATGTAGGAAGAAAGCCCGACATGATCCCAGCTCCACCACTGCAGGCCTTCCACCCTCCAGGGAAAATGTTCCAGTTGTGGCCATCACTTCCATCTGTCGTCAGCATCCACTGAGCAGGCCCCAGGCACCTTCAGGGAGCATGCAAGCTACACCGAGCTCTATGTCTCTATGTCACTGGCTCGCTCCCTGACACATCCACACAGACTTCTCCCAAAGAGTACACTTGACCTTATTCATATACAGCGGCCTGTTTCTCCCCAGGGCACCCTCTCTGTGCACTGCATCCTGCTTTTAGCTGAAGCACTTTCTCCCTCTTCATCTCAAGTGTACTGCAGATACTATCACCTTCTCCCCAGGCACCTCTGTGGAGAGCCTCAGAGAGAACGAGCTGCATAATTTAACTTGAACTTTTTTCATTTAACAGGTTTCATGAGCGAGCAAAAGCATTAGCCATGAGTATTCAGCCTTGTACACAGGCATAGCTGTGATGTGGTTGAAAGCTTCAGAAACAACAGGTAAGTTGGACTTGATGTTTTTGTCAAACACTATAAAAAGTCGGCATTTTGAAGATGCATGTTTTTACAGAACACACCCTCATGCTGGAGAATTTAATTTACATGTAATATGACTGAACAGCCAATTAAATAACAGTTTTTTAAAAATCTAAATATTCTGGGAAATTATTTTTGGTGTCTGACGGATTTTGGTTCATGACCTTTCTAAAGTCCTGGCTACATTATTAGCTGGCCAAAGACCAAGGACCTCAGTATAAAATCCTTTAACAAGTTACTATCAATCTTAGAATAAAAATATTCAGATTTAAAAATGACAACACATACTGATGTTTATTTCTCATCTTTTTTTTACTGAAAAAGCTGAGCCAGGAGCCAGCTACAGGGAACTGAGTTCAGAATGAGCAAAATACACTTCATCAAATAAGAGTGGCAGGTAGAGATCAGTCGAGGCAGATACACACACGGCGAGGAGGCCAATGCAGGGCAAACAAGGCATATCGGATTCATAAACCCCAGTGCAGTAGCATCAAATTGAGACAAATGTCGATGCAATAATTTTATGTTCAGATGCAAAACTCTAGTTTGTTTGCCTTCAGGTCCAGTGAGAATTTGACTGCAAGAGAAAAGTCCACTATTAATCAGCTGATTGTTTTGTAAATGGCATTTATGAGGACGTATAATTCCTCTGGTGTGATTTTCTGTCTGATCTATTGTATTAGAGCAACAGGCACCAAACAGTGGTCTCAGTGAGACGCGCTGTGCAGATGACAGCAGGGACACCTCATCATGAGCTCACTATAATCACAGCCTGGCTCAGTGAACAAAAGCAACAAGTTCGTAACCTCTAGGTATCATGGGAAATGTAGGAAATCATTAACTGATGAGAGGAGACACCAAAAAATATTACTTTCAGCATTCTCAAATTAGGACATCTGAAATATTCAGAGGATGAAAAGTATTAAAGAGTTCATCAGATCTGTCTGGGTAAGTTAGAGTACTTCTGGTAAAATAGAATTACAATTGATTTAGATTTTTAATCCAGTTTTAGTTCAGTTAGCATTAGCATTGTAGCTAATAATGAAAACTTGGTTTTCTCAGACAGAAAATCCAGACAAGACATGTCCCTTGTTTTGTGATTTTATCCAACCTTCAACAAGATGGCGTGTCTCTCTGAACCACCTCCACTGTCCTCCTGCTCAGTGATGGGCCTTTGTGTGTATATCAATCCTGAGGGCAGCTTTACATCCAGAATCCCTCATTTTGACAGAAAGGGAAGGAAAAATTAAGAAATGGCAGCAAACAACAGTTGTACAAACTGACCAGTGCATTGTGTTTTAAAAGTCTAGTTCAGCTGTTTCAGGAGTTCAAAATAATCTTTTTGAGTCCAACGACATCTTTGCAGGTGAGAACATCTCTGCAGTCCTTCTGAGGACGAGGCTGAGCCCTCACCGTCCAGCTGCAAACTCTCATCTCTCCTTTCATTTGTCCAAATCAACAGAGAGTCAGGTCCATCCCAGTCCAGTCTTCAGGGACTGACTGGCTGACAGTGGACGACTGGCAGACCAGTACTGTTCAGTCCTGGAGAGACAGGGTTGGAGTCAAGTTAGCGAAATGCCACCTCAGGTGCCAACAGTGTTGGAAGAAACACCTAGATTGTTTACTTAAGTAAAAGTAGCAGCACTACAGTGTAAAAACCTCTGTTACAAGAAAAAGTCCTGCATTTGAAATGTTACTTAAGTAAAAGTACAAAAGTATTAGCAGAAAATATACTTAAAGGACCAAAAGTACTCATTATGCAAAATGACACAGTTTACATTGATGTACATAATATTATTCAACTGTCATTTTTGACATATTATTATGTGCATCCCATTTAATGTTACAGCTGGTAAAGGTGGAGCTAATTTTAACTACCTTTTATGATTATAATGTGGATTACTGTAGGGAAGCTCGTACATTTTACACCAAGGATCAATAAATCTTATGATTATACTGTATTTTATTTTATTAACCTCATTCTGAAAAGTAACAAATGCTATCAAATAAATGCAGCAAGTACAATGTACAATATTTTTATCTGAAATGTAGTGAAGTCAAAGTATGAAGCAGCAGAAAATGGAAATACTCAAGTAAAATACAGATACCTCAAAACTGTACTTAAGTACAATACTTGAGTAAATGTATTTAATTACTTTCCACTTCTGGGTGCTAAGATTCTAACAATGATGCTAATATGTTTGAAGTACTTAGAAGAATAGTCTGACATGTTTGGAATTTGATGAAAAGATTGAGTCTACTCAGATACGTATCTGTAGATAAATATGAAGCTACTGCAAGAAGACTGTTAGCTTAGCTTAGCTTAGCTTAGCTTAGCACAAAGCCTCGAAAAAGGGAAACAGCATGGATCTGTGTGCAGGTAGCAAAATACAAGTCCCTGCAACTCTAAATCTCACCGGTTAACATCTTATATTGCACATTACTCATTTGTTCTTGTTTGTACTGGACTATTTATCGGCTGGGCCAGTTGCCCTGCAATAAACAAAAACTCCAGGAGGTTTCTGGCCCCAGCCAAAAAACAACATGTGTTGTTCTGACACTTATGTTTGGCTTTTGCACAAATTAAACAGATTAAATACATGTTAATATGTGAACTTTAGAGATGCTGGTAGGCCAGCGTTTACACCCTCGGACAGAACCAGGCTGTTTGCGGTCTTTGTTCTAAGGTAAACTCACTGGCTGCTGGCAGTAGCTTCACCACATCTGAGAGTGGCATCAGTCTTCTTATCTAACACTTTGCAAGAAAGCAAATATGCATTTTCTAAAAAAAAAAACAAAAAAACCCCAAAACTGCTCCTTTAACCACTTGGTGTGAGAGACCACACAGTCAATCTCCTCTGCATGTCTGCCCGTCAAACCTGAGCTGAGTTAAGCAGAATAATGTGCTTGAAAACTACAATAAACTCTAGAAATCAACAAGTGTAACAACTACAGTAAGATGACGAGAAACTGACTCGAGCTGAGAAGATCCCTGCTGTTACGTCTGTGACTCCGCCTCCCGCTCTGCTCCCACCACCTTCCGAATGCTCTTTATTGACAGGTACATCTCCTCCTCAGGGTCGTAGTAATAAAACTTACTCAGGTAGGAGATCAGCGGTCTGGAAAGAGGTGAAGATGGAAAAATCAACAGTCAAAGTCGTTGGGGAAAAATCTGGAAAGTCTCTAGTGTCTGAGTCAGTGACCTGGGCAGTGGAAGCTCCTGGATGTGGTCAATACGGACAATCTGTCGAATGCAGAAGCGACACAGGTGTTGTAGTGACTTCACGTTGCTGAAGCGAGACACAGGATACAGCAGCTGAACCGGAGTGGGAGGAAGCCCTGGAACAAAGAGCATCAGCAGTGCATACACAAAGGCAAGGCAAACGTATTCGTACAACACATCTCATGCCAGCCCACAGTGCCTCACAGTATGCAGTCATCGGCACAAAATGCTAAGCAGACATCATAAAAACAAGCAAACAAAAGCACAAATTTAGTCATTAAAAGAGAAGAAATTAGTGCATGGATTCAGGCCAAATCACGACAACAATGATATGAAGTGTAAGTCAGTCTGTAATCAAAACAAAAACAAGTGAACAAACCACCCTCTGCTCTGTCTCTCAGGTCCTTCTCACTTAGTCTCTGATCAGGCTGCGTATATGACCTATATTTTACCTGGGACTCTGGAGCGAAGGAAGTAGAGGAATTTGCCGTTCTTGGAGTGCATGATGGCGCGCTCGATGAACTCCACCACTGAGTGACAGCGGTCCTCAAATTTCGGGTGACACCACAAGCTGAATGTCCCTGGAAGTAGAGAAATGATGCTCTTCATGTGTCACATGTAGCATTTTACAGGGAAGCTGCCTGTAGCAGCCGCCCATTTGACCTTCTTCGATGGTCTCCCAGAAAATGCTTCATAGTGGGGTCCTTGGGTTTCTCTACCAGTCTGTTCCAAATTAAGAATTTAAGTCTGAGCTGTGGAAACAGATCTACTCTACCAGTCAAAGGTTTGGACACACTTTCACATTCAATTCAATGGGAAAGTGTGGGGTAATGTACCTGGACAGTGCAAACAGGAACATGTGCAACAATAAAATGCACCAGCTGTGTTAAAGTAGTGCGGCACCAAAGAACATTTTACTGGTTTTCTATACCACCTTGTGTAATGTCACACTGGGACATCAAGTCCTGGTTTTAAGTAGTGAAAAACAAGACTTCAGAGACTTGTTTCTGTTATTTAGCCCAGTCACACTGATATAATGGGAGGGGCAAAATCACCACACTGGTGAATCAACAGCTCACAACAACAGTTTGAATAAGAACTGGATAATTTCACTTTTATGAAGGAGGATTTTTATCGTGGCTTCCCTAATAAACTGCCAAGTGACTGTAATTCAAAATAGTAGGAGTTGCCTTCCTGTTGTTTATCTGAAAGCCTTTCTGCCTTCCACTCACATCAGACCATGGTGCGTTCACGCAGACATGATCATGTTGATGTGAATGTGTTGTGTCAGTCTGAATAATGGATGTGTTTCCAGGCATGACTCCATAGCTTGACCATGGTGATTCATTAATGTGGAGTGTGCACATGTGTTGCTAAGGTTGTGTGCACACATTTTTAGCTCAATACCATCGTGGTCCTCACAGCTTCAAAGGGCTGTATGAGGGTTAAGACTTGGCTTTATGGTTCAGGTTTATGTTAGGGTAAGGGGCTAGGGAATGCATTATGAGTGTCCTCACAAACCTAGTGCAAGTCTTCCCAGACATCCTCCATCCACTACCTGACTGTCAGCATCTGTGTCAGTTTGAATATATCAGGGCTTTTAATATTAAAGGCACTCACAAGTGTGGGGTTTGTACAAACGTGTGTTGTGTGTCTCACCTCGGTAGTGCTCCATGCGTGTGTGGTGCGTGACACCCTGTGACCTGAAGCTGAGGCTCAGGATGTATCGGGGATCTGAACTGTCCCGGACCAGGAAGGACCCATCTGGTTTCCCCTTCAGCTTCATCTCTGCATCCTCCCAGTTCATCGGACCCCAGTACCAGCCGCACTGCAGCCAGAGACACCAGCAAAACATTCACAGTGACAGTCGGCCTTTCTCTTTCTCTCCGATGTCTAATTTGCCCAAAACACCCTGAAAGGCTGGAGACCCTCCAGCCTCCCCCAGCAACCTAACCACTGTCCAGAAACCTCCCGTTCTGTCGACACAGATACTGTATCTCTGGTGTAGCTACTCCTCTGTGATGCTTCTTCTGGTAACAACTAGCAAATGGATAAACCAAAATTCATTTGGAAATCATAACAGCTGATGGAATCTTGCAACCTTGACTAAGACAGAATTGGTTTCTGAATATTTCCACAGTATTTAGGAACAGCTTATATGTCTACTTTAAAGACTAGAAGTGAGTCTAATGTAGTCGACCAACTACAGGACAAGAAGAAAGAAGGGAATGACATGTTGTCTAATGCACAACCTCATGATGCCAAACCAACTGCCAGCAGACTGAACTTAGAGACACTCATTCATCTGCTGGACTTTTCTACTTGATGGCGCTGGCGATAATATTTGCAACTGTTTTTATTGCAGGTGTAGCCGAACTCTTTTGTTGTGATATTGTAGACTGTACATGTGATTTGTTCTCTTGTTGATCTCAGTGAAACTTTCTGTCTCACCTTCTCCAGCTCTCGCAGACTGGCGGCGAAGTTGCTGGCCTCCGAACGCCGCAGGGCGCACAGCATGGGGGGCGGAGGCTGTCTGGTGAGGGGTGGAGCATCAGGAGGCGAAGGGTTTGAATGAGGAAGGGTCCGAAGGAAGGCGTCTAAATCAGGGAAGGAATGTCAAAGAAATTAAAGCTGCTGCAGTACATGAAGCATTTTTAAAGTAGGGATTTACACTAAGGTGAAAACCAGGTGTTCTTTCCTTTTTCACAGTTAATTCTTAAGGCATTTATTACTGAAAAAACAGTGCGTCTCTGTTGTTGTGTATGTGGTGCACAGTGCAGGAGCTGTGTAGATGTCTGCAGTGTAGTGTGGAGAGGGGAAAGTTCACATTTGCTGAACTTTAACCCCCGTTGTGCTGACCTCTGGGGATGCAGCCAGTCACTGTTGACCCCTGCTTAATCTTTTGAGAAACTAACTAGCCTGCTTGTGTTTCAAATTTCCCAAACAAACAACAACAAATGACCCTCATACCCAGACAAACGACTGGCAGCCTGTTTAAGTGCCAACATATCTGAAAGGTTTCCGTCCAGCGGCCTACTGCTAACATTGTTAGCATCACAGCACCACCACCTGACTTGTCTTACCATTGAGGCTGAGACTGTGCTGGATGCTGAGGTGGGAGGGAGGAGGAGGAGGAGGGAGAGGCAGGGGCAGGGACTGTAGGGAGGCGCCCATAACACTCACTAGGAAAGGCCCAGGCTGAGGCCCGGCTATGTCATCTGGACGAAAGACAGGAAGTAAAGGAGAGAGCAAGGAGGGAAGGAAGGAAACAATGAGAGGTGAGGAAAGGAATAGAAGGAAGGGAGTGAGCACAGAGAGAAAGAGGCAGGGGAGGAGAAGCAAAGAAAGCATCAAGGAAAGAAGGAAGGGGGTAGAAAGATAGAGAAATGAAGTTAAGAAAGGTAAAGGAAGGAAGGAAAGATAGAGATTCTTTTAACATCATCAGTCGGAAAGTCTCAGTCCACCAAAGTAAAAGACTTCACCTTTTTGAATTTACCAGTCACATCTTGGATACATCGCAGTCCCCTTTTTGTTTGTTCCTTGCTCCTTGATCCTGAAAGTTGTTGCAATCGAGTGAGGATCAGAGAAATGCTCCGAGGAGCGAGAAGGCTGCCTGGAGGAGATATGAGGCGCGATACACAAGACCATCCCGTGGGGAAGTCTTTCATGAACTGACACACCCTTTTATCGGAAATCATTTGGTCACTGGATGCTTCAAATGAAGGATGGGAGGACAGAGCATCTCATTTCTCTAAAGAGGTGCCTCCTTGTTTCGTTTTTCCTCACATTTTCTCCTTGCATCTTTTTCTCTCACGTGGGCAGAACACACACACAGTCCCACATACACTGCCCTGCTGCCACAAACACTCACTAGAGACCAAGCGTGGATTCATCCACCGCTGAAATTAGTCCACAACAAATGCACGACTTATTTTTGAGTTTATTAAAAACTACAGTGCCCAGTTTTATAAAACAGTATCACCGTTTTAAAAATGAAACTACACATTTGTGACATCTTCAGTAGGAACTAATGGGCTTGCAAAAGACTGCTGGTTCTGGACATTCATGGGATTTGTTAACTGTACAAAAATGACAAAATATTTCCAACTGTAACTTTTAAACAAAACTGAAAGGATGTGGGTCAGAAAATATCAGAAGCTCATAGGAAAGAAATGAAATGTAAAAGGTCATAGAATGACCTGAGTCTTAAATAAAAAAATATCACGTTAACATTTTATATCATGTACAAATAATCATGGTCTCAAATTTGATGTGAACTGAATGTGCACAGCTTGAAGCTGTAGAAAATATCATCTGTCAATGCAAACTGATGCAACAGACAATTAAATCCTTAAAAATCATAAAATATTGTTTTTTGTCCCGATACAGATGGATTTCCTGTGATTTCCTTTGCCATCAGCCATCGATTGAGCTACCGCTTCCACATGACCTTTCAAAGCTTCTCCAATCAAATTAGAGCCGACAACAAAACCTCGTCTGTGACCGAGTTCCCAGAAATGTACGACAGAAAACAAAACTGACATGTATTTGTCTAAGACAGAAATATTAAGAGAAACTGCCACAGCCTCCTTTTCTTCTGAACTATGTTGAAGCTCTCTGCAAAGGACAGTTTGGTTTCATCTCCTATGTTGCTACCATAGTTAGTGCTGACTGTATGATGTGCCTAAATGAGTAAGAGGAGGAAAGAAACAGAAGAAAGAAATGTACCTAATAGACTGAGACTTCGGCGCGGAGGAGGAGGAGGCGTGGGAGGGTGTGGCGTGTTCGCCCCTCGCCGGGAAATATCCACATCCACCAGAGAAACTGTCTCACCTGAAGCCAGAGGAGCAGCAGATGGGAGAAAAGAGGAGAAAAACCAGGAAAGAAAAAAGAAGAAAGTGAAATAAAGATGCAGGCAGCATAAAAAAAGTGAAAATATTTGTATAACTGTGATTGCGTGTGCTGCACAGCGCAATTAAAGCTGCACCAGGCAGGATGTTTATGGAAAATTACACCCAGCTAATCAGCCTAAATCACTGCAATAAAGCAGAACATCCCATCTCCACTAATTGAGATGCTGCAGATTCACTGTTTACCAAAGTGAAATTCTGCAGTTGGGGACGGTTACTGGCAAGGAGAGAAACAAAATCAAACATTAAGAAGCAAATCCCCACCGTCTCCTACACAGCCGAGAAAACAGAAACCCACTTTTGATCTGCGCCTCCATCATCTCTTTAGATTCCACTATGGTTGTGAGGCATCACAGACTGGCTGGGTCAGTAAACATGAGCACGCTGTGTGCAGGACTTCTGGAATTTCAAGTCCCCAAGATTTCAAATAGCTCACCCTGGCTCCGGCGGGGGTGCCAACATGAACGCACGACCTGCTGCAGCTTTAATGTTTCTGTCTAATTGCTGATTAGCCTCGTGTGCATTACACATTAAAGATTTAGCTAAACTAAAATCTGCGAGCAAAGTGGGGCACCAGGATGTTCTGCCGAGCCCTGTGGAGGTGTTTCTTATAAACTCAGCTAAGTATTTTTCACCAGCTGAGCCACAGACCTCCTCCCTTCTCTCGCTGTAGCCACAGGCCTTTTGTGCTGAATCTGGTCTTATCTTATCTGGTCACCAGTTACAGAGTCTGACTGGTAAGGTCAGTCGCCATGTGCAGCATCAATGAATTCTGTTAGCTTTTCTTATTAAGACTTTAAAGAAATCATTTCATATTTTTTGGAAATGTGTTTGTCTGCTTTTTTTGCGCAGAGCTGGATTAGAAGACTCCGCTCTCATATTTGTCTGAATATGAAGCGACACCCAGAGAGAGGAATGTGGCTGCAGACAAGATGGCAGATTGCCACCAAGATGTGCAAACTCTCAACCTCACCTGCAAGTTCCTGAGTTTGTCCAGAGGTTGTGTTACAGGTAAGGTTAACTCTAACACATAATCCTAACCATAGGCCCAAAAGTAAACCTGCTGAGATCACTGACTTATACAGGATGGACATGGCGTCACCACTTCCCTCCACTATGCAAAAATGAAGCCAAAATATTGTGAATACGGCGGCTGCCATCTTGGCATTCTAACAACCAGATTCTGCGCAGCAGTGACAGCATCAGACCACCAATCAAAGCTGTCAAATCACCTAAAATACATCTCTTTTTAACTCATCAAATATCATATTAGAAACAAACTTACCAGAACAAAATGACCATTTCTTCACACATCAGTGTGATAATATCACAGAAGTCATTTTGGGGAAAATGTATGTGATTTGTACTTTGAGTTTAATTCATCTCATGGAGGAGGACTTATGACCTCTAGGCCTATTGCAACCAGCCACCACAGGGCACGTGCATCTCTGTGGCAGCCATCTGGCATCCATATTTTCTACAGTCGATGGCCAAGATGAACAACTTTTGGCTACTATCGCCAACTTCCTGCCAAGGCTGGCAGTCCTCCATCTTGTCTGCAGCCAGGTTCTCCTGCAGTCAGTAGCTAGTTAGCTTGGCTTAGCGTAAAGACTGGAAACAGGGGGAAACAACTAGCTTAGCTCTGTCCAAATGCAACAAAACCCATGTGTGGATTAAACAAACAAGATCCAGCGTATTAATTTATAAACTATGCTGGTAGGTGGATTTTGTCGTGTCTGAGTAGTTCCAGCCCCACAGATGTGACATTTTCTGCTTTTTTCTGTCTAATGCAAAATAGTAAACTGAATATCTTTGGCTTTTGAACTGCTGGATAGAAGAAATAAGCACTCTGAGGAGGCTAAGGGAAGTGTCAAGAGCATTTTCCCACATTTTCTGACATTTAACTGAATGAACTCTTAACAGATTGTTTCTCTCAGGTTACAGCCAAAGCAGCAAAGCAACCCTTACCCGTGAAAGCAGAGAGGGAGGCAGGGGAGAAGGCACTGTGGACCCTGGTCAGCCTGGGCTGGCTGTGGCTGCAGGACAGACACAAGACAAGCAGAAGAAGTAGAGCGAGGACAATTAGAGCACAGAGAAGTGTTGGTAGCTGCAGAGGTTCAGCTCCCAGGATGAATGTATAGGTATGTCTGCACCTTCGGGTCCTGGAGCTTTCTTTTTTACTGTTTCTGGTTGAAGCTCATAACTCTGGCAGTCCAGACCTCTGAAGCTATGTTTTTTAAATCATAGCTTTCTTTTAGCATTGTACTGTAAATAATGACGAAGCACTGAGGAGAACAGAGGGTGACAAACCACAGAGGTTTGAAAAATCTCTACATCTAATAACAGGCAGCATCAAAAGGTTCTTGGGTGTCTGAGAGGCCAGTGGCTGCCAGCTGAAAGAGCTAATTCAAGCCATTAGAGAATGACTGGCACTGTGGCATAATGGCAAAAACCTGGAAAGGAATCAGCTTATCTGGGCTCTGGACAGACTTCACTAGAGCACAAACCAGTGGCTAGATTCAAAATGTGTTGCTTCTTTTATCTGGTCTGTTTTGTCCCTAAACCTCCAATCAGCCTTTTTAAACGTTAGCTATTTCTGAAACTAGGACTCTGCTTATGTAAAACATGTTTAAAAATGCAGACAGAACAGGTTCAGTATGTGGGGAGAGAGTCGTGACGGGGTTGTTCTGTGATGCATTTACCAATGTGTTATACATTCTAATTATTTTGATTTCTTCTGAAAATAAGAATATTACATATAGGTCTAATCTTAGACTGTTGAAGGCTCACCTGTCTGCGTCGTGCTCGGCACCAGCAGCGCTCGCCATGTCCACCAGACTCCCAGCAGAAGACACAGAGTAGGTCACTGAGGGCCTCTTGTCCAGCAGGTGATTTGAGCCGCTGCAGCTTTTAGTCCGAAACAGTTTACTCAGACGGATCTTTAACGAGCCTTTTTTGGACTTTGCTGGAACTTTGAGCGTCCTTTGCCCGCCCGGCGCCCGGCCTGTGGGAGTCCTCGGCGCGCTGGCGCACCGCTCTGGTCGTCTCGTGGGTGTCGACGCCTGGCTCAAGTTTGGGCTTGTGGCCCAGGGTGAGCTCTGTACCGGTGTGGCTGGTGGTAACATGGCTGAGACAACCCCCGAATCCCCAGAGTTTACCTGTGAGTGCCGGCTGGATAAGTTCCCGTGGAGGCTGCAGACCTGTGCGCCAAAGTGAGCGGCTGCTGATGCTTCCGTGGCCGGCGGTGCGACCCCCTCCATCTGCCTCCTCAGCTGCGCTTGGAAGCTGCTGATGGAGAAAGCCCCGGACATTTTCTGAACTATTTCTCTTTTCCTGTTTAGCAAAAACTCGCGGCGTCCGTTCTCATCTTCCGTCTCATCGTCCGGGCACTCGTCCATGCCCAGGCCGGCTACATCCCCGCTCCCCAGCCCCTCCAGTACCAACAAAGCGTCGCTGGTTTCTGTTGGGTCATCCCCGGGCTCTACTCCCCCACCCACCGGCCCGTGTGCACCCTGACACGAACACTGCGGGAGCTCCCCTGCTCTGAACAGTATCTTGGGTACTGCACCGAGTCCCAGCTCCCCGAACCGTCGGGCCAGTTCAAACACGACTCCCTCCCTGTCCCTGGTGGCGCATCCCCACTTAGAATCAATAGCGGTGAGCGGGTTGGATCTCTCCGTCAATAAGGGCCATTCGGGCGGGGTGGTCATGAGTCGATCCGGGCGGCACAGCTCGGCAGCTCCTTGCATCTCCCCAGATACTGACACCGGCGGGGGCGCCCCCCGCGGCCG